TCAAGGAACAGTCAGGCCTGGCCTTCCATGGGAGGCCTGGCCTGATCCCCCTGGTTCTAAGGGCTCTCCCTTTCAAATTATTTCCCAAATGGTTGGTGTTTATCTGTTTTCAGGTTGTATCCAGCTTCTCCCCAGCCCCCTCCCCTGCCACACACACTCGTAGGCTCTTTAGAGGCAGTGATGGGTCTGCTTTCTGGGTTTGTCTCAGTGTCTAGGGGGCCTAGCCCTGAGCCTTGCATTCAGCAGGTGCTTAATAAATGCTTGTTGAATCCAACTATTGCTTTTAGAAGCTTGAGGCCCTTATGCTGCTATCACAAGGGACAAGTGAGAGTTTGTTGCTAGCCAGGAACACTGCTGATCCCATGGGAGGGTGGGGAGTAGGGGTGGGGCCTGTCTGAACAGGCTGGCACACAGGAGGGACTTCGTCAGGAGTGGGGAAAGGGCCAGGCTCAGGGTGCGCCAGGGGGACAGGATCAACACCTATGACACCTGGAAGGAGATGAAGGAGGGATGGGGGGAGGGGAAGGTTTAAGATAACACTTGTCAGGAAGTGAGAGGGTCTGAGGGCCTCTGATAGGGAGGGAACCCTGGAGGAAACTGCCATTAGTGGAAAGAACAAAAAAGTAGAAACGGGACTCTTTGTAACCACAAAGACCAAACTTGTTCCCCAAGGAAGAGAGAAGAAAGTGTACCTCCCTCCTTTATTTGTAGAGGTGGGGGCCTACAGGTGTGGAACAGGACATACACCATCAAACTCAGTTGTGTTCCTTGGGTTTGGTGAACTTCTTTTTTCTCTCTTTTTCATTCTTTGTTCCAAAGGATGAGGAAGGGAAAGAGGGTTAAAAATAATAATAGCTAGCATTCAGAGAACACTTTATGGTTTATAAAGTGATTTATACATGTTATTTCATTTTATCCTTACAACAACCCTTGGAGGTAGGTGCTGTTATTATCCCATGTTACAGGTAAGGAAACTGAGGCAAACAGAGGTAAAATGACTTGCCCAGGGTCATACAGCTAGCAAGTGTCTGAGGCAGCATTTGAACTCGAGCCTTCCTGAGTCCACTATTAGGTAGCTCACAAAGGAAGGTTGGTGCTACTTTGTGCTAGGCCTTAAATGCCAAGGTCAGGAGTAGTCTCTGAATTTCATGATGGCTTTTGCACGTGAGCAGTGGGTTCGAGGCAATGAGCAGATGGTGAAAGGGGAATCATGGGCCAGTTTTCTGCTGCCCTCCAGGGCCCTCACCCCCTCCCTGAACTGCTTCCCACCCTTCCCCTGGGGCCCATGGGCTCCTCTGGGACAGCTGCTTGCTGAAGCTCCCTGTAGGAATCACACTCCTCCTAACCTCTGACTTCCCCTTCTATTCCAGGACAAAGACAACCAGCTGGAAGCCAAGTGTGGCTCTAGCTCAGGGTGGGGATCCAGGTTTATTCAGCTATGGGAAGATGGAGGCTGGGACCAAGAGCTCATTTCTCTGCAACAGTTCCAGGAATTGGAGCCCTGGCCTGCCCCAGCAGGAGAAGACACCTGGGTTTGAATCCTGACTCACCAACCATTGTGACCTTGACCGCTTCAATGCCCCTCTCTGGGCCTCCTCCTTTCTTTTCTTTATTTTTAGGCAATTGGGGCTAAGTGACTTGCCCAGGGTCACACAGATGGTAAGTGTCAAGTGTTTGGTCTGAGGTCAGATTTGAATGCAGGTCTTCCTGACTTCAGGGCTGGTGCTGTATCCACTGCGCCATCTAGCTGCCCCTGGGCCTCCTCCTTTCTTAAGGAATGGGGCTGGTCAGGATGACTGCTAAGCCCCCTTCTGGCGGCTCTAAAATCCTATCCTACAGTAAACCTGCACTGCACTGAGTCCTCGGGGCCTAGGGTGCAGATGGTCACAGAGAGGTAGCAGGAAACTAGAGGAAGATGTGGACGTAGTCAGGGCTGGGGATTAGCTGGGAAGAGACAGAAACAAGAATGCCAGGAAGGGACCTATTCACAGATTATTATTGGAAATACTTTCATTTTACATTTGGGGAATCTGAGGCCCAGAAAGAAGGCACTTACCCAAGTTAGTGTTAGGGCCAAGATTAGAACCCGGGTCTCTTACCTTATAATCACAGACTCTCAGAGTTGGAAAAGATCTTGGAGAGAGCTAATCCAGCCCCTGGCCCTGAGCAGGAATCCCTGCCTCAACAGCCTTAGCTAGAAGGCCACTAGTGATAGAGAACCCACCACCTCTAGGGGCTCCCCTCTCCTTGCCAAGCATGACAAAGCCCATCTCTCTTCCCCAGGACAGACCTTGAATGCAGCTACCACGGTCCCCCTGAGCCTTCTCTCCTGAAAGCCAAACATCTCTACCTCCCTTGGATCCTCCGTGTTTGATCTCCATCCTCAACTCTCTCTCCAGTGTGTCAACATCCTTCCTCATATGGGCTGCCCAGATCTAAGCAGACTATGGCAGATCAGCTCCAAAGTCCGCTATTAAAGATGCCCTCCACATTGTCATTTGGGGGTGGCCCCTCAATCAGTGCTGAATTGACCTCTCCGTGTCTCTCCATCTCATCCCAAAGACATCAGTCTACATGTATTTATTTGGTGTCTATTATGTGCAAAGTGCTGGAAATAGAAGGAATGAGAAAAGACAGCCCCTGTCCTCAAGAAGCTCACAATCTAAGAAGGAAGATAATATGCAACAGCTATGTACTAATGAGAGATATACGGGATAAATGAGAGATAATTAACTGAGGGAGAGCACCAAGATTAAGAAGGATGGGGAAAGGCTTCTGTACAGCTATGTGCAAACCAGATACAAAGTAGACAGAAGAGAGAAGGCGCTAGCAAGCATTAAGGGGGACCAAGAAAGGTTTCTTGCGGAAGGTGGGATTGGAGCTGCCTTGAAGGAGGTACTTGGGTGAACTAAGTCTGTAGCATTCCCCTGACCTGCTAGACCAGCTCCCAGAGAGCATCAGCATCAGAGCTGGAACCAGAAACCAGTTTTCTGTCTCCCAGGTAAGTAAAATGACTTTACTTCCTAAAGTCGCACGTAAGGGTGGGCGGCAGGATCAGGACTAGGAGCTGTCCCCTTCTGGTCCCCAGATCAGGCCTCTTTCCACTGACTGCTGACTCAGAAAGCCAGGCTACCTCCCCCATCTCCTTGGGAAGCTCTCCTGGGTCCTGGGCCTCAGAAGCTTCCCCCTCCCACCAAACACACTGCACTTCCCATCCTCCAACAGATAAAGAGACCCACTTTGGCCTGATAGGCATTTAGGAAGTGTCTGCTTTGGGCAGAGTTCCAGGCAGCCTATTAGGGCCCCTAACTACTGCCCTTTATACCCATGCCAGGCCACAGCATGGGTCAGTTGACACATGAAGCAAAGAATCCTGGCTAGAGTTTATCCTAAGACCTCATCCTCTGTCCCCAGCAGGCCCAGAAGGCCACCTAGGGCTCAGGAATGCTCCTGCTTCCCAAGACAGCCCCCCTGGAATCCCGTGAAGTGGCGTAGAATGATGGAAAGGAATCTAGGCTTGGACCCAGGCAGCTGGGCTGTGGGGAATCCGTTCTGCTGCTCCCTAGCTGGGTGATTCTCCTCTCTAAAGTGGAGTCACAGGGGCAGCTAGGTGGTGCGGTAGGTAGTGCTCCAGCTTTGGAGTCGGGAGGACCTGAGTTCAACTCTGGCTTCAGACACTTGACACTACTAGCTGTGTGACCCTGGGCAAGTCACTTAACCTCACCAAAAAATAAAGCATAAAATGGAGTCACCACCGTTGTGTGACCTACCTCACAGGGGTCATTGTGAGAACCAAACAAGATGACATATTTGAAGTATTCTGCAAACCTCAGTGTGCCATGGTAATGTCAACTTTTAGGGTTGGTTTGGCCTGGGAGAGTTGGCCAGGTGGGACTGGACTCCTCCTCCTTGGGAACTCCCTTCACTGACCCCTCCCCAAGGTTCCCTCAACACTTGACCTGATCCCTGAACTCAAGAGCTGTTGGAAGGCAATAATACTGAATGCAATTTCTGCAAAACTGGTCACGATGTCCCTGTAAGGGAGCAAATGCCAAGATTGTTGCCCCCATTTTTCAGATGATGAAGGAGACGACTGAGGCTCAGAAAAGGGAGGGAAGGAACTCTCTTTTGGTCCATTGGCTAACAAGTATCACCCCTGAGATCTGCCCTTTCTCTTACTGCTCAAAATGCCACCTGACAGAATTTGGACACGGAGCCAGGAAAAATCCTGCACTATGTGGAGTGATTGCAGCAGGCAGGCAACAGCTCTGGGAGGGGGGAGTCCTGGCTCCCCGGCCCCCAGGGCTCTCTCACTGCAGGGGGCCTGCCAGCCCAGCCGGTCACATCTGGGGGCTAGGTCGGGGCCCAAACTGGACCCATACGTCAATCAAGACCAGGGTCAAAGCCTTATCTGAGATGGGCGGGCCTCACTCAGACCAGGATCAGGGCTCAGTGTGAGGCCAGGCTCAAAACCAGTGCTCAGACTGAGACCAAGATCAGGACTCAGGGGCAGTTAGGTGGTATAGTGGATAGAGTCCTGGGCCTGGGTTCAAATCCAAACTCTGACACTCACTAGCTGTGGGACCCTGGGCAAGTCGTTTAACCTCAGTTTCTTCTTCTGTAAGATGGGGATAATGCTGAACACACCTACCTGCCAGGGTTGTTGTGAAGCTCAAATAAGATAACTTGTAAAAGCACTCAGCACAGTGCCTGGCACATAAGAGTTCTTATAGAAATATGTTTGTTATTATTGTCGTTAGGCAGGAGCCATTGACGGGGCTCAAACTGGGGCCAAGACCAGGATCAGGACCAGGGTCAGGGTCAGGCTCAGGGCTCAGCCCGGGACCAGGCTCAGGGCTCAGCCACTGAGCCGTTGTCCTCGGAGAACAGCAAGAATAAAGCGAGGGTGGCGAGGGCCGGAGAATGGGGGCGGGGCGGAGGAGGGGGAGGAGGAGGCCCGTGGGCAGGTCTGGCAGCGTGGCGTGGGCGGGGCCGGAGGCGGGGCCGGCCCAGATCCCCCAGACCTGAGCCTCAGCCCGGCTGGGCGAGCAGTAACACCAGCCGCAGGCTGCCTCCAGCGCCCGGCCGCCGGCCCCGCGCAGAAGAGTGAGTTCCCAGGCGGGGGAATAGACGGACAGGCGGACGGACAGACGAACGGTCGGACAGCCGGCCCGCCTTCTCGCACTCCCGGCCTGGCAGTGCCCGGTGAGTGACCCCCCACCGCACCCCGGGACCCCGCCCCCCGCCGGAATGTGGCCCGGCACCGCCAGAGTTTAGCGCACCCACAGAGCCGGGCGGGGCCCCAGGCCTCCGGAGCTGGACCGCGACGACCCTCCTCGAGGGGCCGGCCTGAGCCGGTAGGCGTTGACGCTGCACCGGGCACCTAGAGCCTAGGGGAACCTAGGACTGGGGCCACGGAGCGGGGCTTCTGCGAAGATCACGGGCGCAGGGGTGGGGGAATCCAGGCTTGCGTCCTCGGGAAACCCCCTTTCTAATAAGGATGTGCTTCACCCAGCGCATCGGAACCAGGGGCAGATGGGGTGGTGAAGAGAGCCCGGAGGTTGGAGGCAGAGGCCCTGGATTCCAATCTTGGTTCCGACACAGTTTCCTCTTCTGCAGAATGGGCACGATTATAACCCCTACCAGCCAGGGCTGCGGTGAGCTCCTTTCTGTTAATAGGAGCCCCTCCAGCCATGAAGCTGGAGACGATTGTGGGCTTGTATTAGTCCTCCCACCAGAAGCATCTGAAGCCCCTGGCTGTGTCTCAGTTGTTCCCTCTCTACAATGGACTGTTGGGGAGGGGAAGTAGATGGGCTGATACCTGAGGCCTCTGCTAGCCCTGTGCAGCTCCAGGGCCAGTCCCACTCTGAGTGACTTCATGTGGGCAGGGTTGGGCAGGGCAGCCTTCCTGGAGGAGGTGTGTTTGAGGCAGCTTTGGAAGAAGCTGAGATCAATTGGCTGTTAGAAATTGCTTTTAACCAGGGAGGACACTGAGGCCCAAAGAAGGAAAGAGACTTAGCCCAACTTGGAGATTCCCAAGTCAGTGCCCTCCCTCCCCCTTCCCCCACCGCAAACATCTGGACTTTCTAAGTGGGACACAGGACACAGAGGTAAGGTAGGATGTACTGCCCTGGTGCACAGGGAGACCTAGAGTGGGGAGGTAAGCACGGATGAGGCTGGTGGGGGAATACAGCTTCCTTTTCACCCAATCCTTTGAGGCAGGCCAGACTCATAGTCCCTGTTTTCCTAAAGAGAAAAACTGAGGCCCAGACTCTTAGGTGACTTCTGTAGGGTCCCAGGAAAGCCCCAAGCCCTGGCCTGGCTCTGCATAATGAATAGTAGATCTGGAGGGAACCTAAGATACCAGGGAGTCTGTGACATTTGAGGAAACCCAGGCTAAGCAAGAACGAGGACTTGCCCTGGGTCACACGTCCAGGTGTTCTATCTCCCAGGCCTGAGATTTTCCCTCAAAAGAGGCCCTGAAAGGCCTCTAGAGGACATCAGAGGTCCAGCACCCCGTGCTTGGAGGGGGACAGATGGAAAAGCCAGGCTGATTCAGGGTTGGCAATGGGTGTGGGTATATGGGGGAGGGGGAGAATAAAAGGGAGGTGAAGGGACAGGGGCCTCCATGGAACCCTCCTGATCTGAGTTCTCAGAGCTATCCTGGTGGGGATGGTGTGTGTGTGTGCGGGGGGGGGGGGGGGGGAGATTACCCTTGGCCTGGGAGAGCAGAGCCAACAGCAGTGGGGGTTAGAGAGTCCTCAAGGAGCCAGCTGAGGCTGTCCCAGAGTAGGAGGGGCTGCCGGGGGGGGGGGGGAGTGAGCGCCTCCTCCCTGGAGGGTTTAAGCAGAAGCTGGATGCTCACTTGTCTGGATGTCACACGGGGGATTCCTTTGTGTATGGGCTGGACCAGATACTCTTGAGGTGGCTGCCAACTCCAGTTCTGGGATTCTGTGAATCTAGGGAGGGGCCATTGGAGGCAGGAAACAGAGTGATTCTTCTCTGTTTGCAAAGAAAGAGTTGTCTGCTTTCTATCTCCCTGAGTCCACACCAAAACCTGGGGAGGGAGGATCCAGAGTGGGATCTGCTCTGTTGTTTTCTACATTTTACAAAAAAGGAAACTGAGGCCGAATGAGAAGAATCACACCTGTCCCAGAACCGCCCCCCCCCAGCAAGGTCCCTCAGTCCACCATCAGCAAGCACCTGCATGTATGCTAAGCTCTGTGCTAGGCACTGGGGACTCTGAGAGCCCAGGCCCTGGGGGAATCTCTCCTTCTCTGGGCCTCCTGCTCAAGCAAAGGCCATTGGAGCATAGGAGCATTATATTTTGAAATGAAAGCTGCTAGAGCCATTTCGTCAGCCCCATCCCCCAAGAAAAACAGCCCCTGTCCTGGTGGGGAGGGGCTCACCCTTGCTGCATAGACTGGCCCTCAGAGGCATTGAAATGGAATCTTTCCCCACTCCCCTTCTGGAAGAAGCCCAAAGAGGCTATTGACTTACCCCTAAAGGGTGGGATGGGAAGGAGGGAGGGGAGATGCTTCTGGCCAAGGGGGCCCTCCAGCCTTTCTTTCACATGAGTCCAGTCTCTGGTAATAGTCACCTCCAGAAATCCACACTGAACCAGGAGTCAGAAAAGAGGCCTATTTCTGACACTGATGGGCAGCAATCCCTCTCAGTGCCTCAGTTTACTCTGCTGTAAAATGGAGACAATTAGTCCTCACACTCTCTACCTTCCAGGAGTTTATGGGGAAGGTACTTTTTTCACTTCAAAGCTTCAGAGAAATGGGCAGGCAGGCTCCTGACTCCTGTTCTTGCTCCCTCCTCAAGCTAGAAAGTTTGCCCCATTCATTCCCTTGCCCCCTCACCATCACCCCAGATATGGCCTTGCCCAAAGCAACCCACAGGGTTGCCTTGTGTCTGAAGACCCAGGAAAAAAGAGGCAGCTGTGTGGTCATACCAGGGCCAACTTTAGTCCTTTACTCTGAGGTTGATACACAGTCCCTCTGCTCCAGTCAGGAAGGCAACTTCTTTTTTTGGAGGCCCCTTAGGGCTCACCTCTCTGGGACCTCTTTTCCCTGCTCCCCACAAGGTTCAGTCTCTGGCCCTTTCTTAGGGGTCTTTTCCTGATTCTCTCCAGGGGGTTCCGGGGGTCAGGGAAGACAGAGCTGGCTCCCACTGACCCATTAGGCACCTGGCCCTGAGTTAAAGGAGAATCAGAGATTGCCCAAGGAAAGGGCAGGGGTGGGCTTGGTGGAGTTTCCATCGTGGATTCATCTCCCTGGGACTCCCCTTCCTGGGAGGGAAGCAGAAGAGGAGAAGGGACAGTTTCAGGGTTGTATCTTAAATAGCAGCTCTGCTTGGGAGGAAGGAGTGCATGTGTGTGTGTGTGTGTGTGTATGACACAGACAGAGGCAGACTCTTGGAGAGGCAGTGCAGCAGAATGGGCCAGTGAGCTGGCTTCAAGCCCAGCCCCAACAACCCCGGCCGTACTCCTCAGGAAAGTGAGAATGATTGTTCTGTCTCAGAAAGTGCCTTGCCAGCATTGCTGAAGGTCGCTGTTTCAAGGAAGATCGCTAGTCTATCGGTGGGATGACCCTGAATATATAATCTTTGTGTGCCTTCAGAAGGGGCCAGACAAGGCCATTTCTAAGGGCCTTTCAGCTCTAAGGTATAAGAGGAGGCCACCAATGGATCAAACTCACCCACCCACCCCCAGCCTGAATCACTAGGACCCTGCAGAAAGAAGAAAAAACACCACAACCAGGTTTTGAGGGCCTGGATCTCAGGGAGGGCTCCCTTGGGAGTGACCAGCCTGAGGGTTTCCATACCCCTGTCCCATTCGGCCTAGGAGAACCTTGCCCTGTGGGCCGAGAGGAAGGAGCAGAGCGAGCTGAGCCCTGACCAGCCCCCACGGTGTCTGCATTGATGGCAAGCCAGGAGGGGCTACATGAGTCAGATGCGTCCTTCTGCCTATGTCCCCGGGCATCCTCTGGAGAAGAGGCCTCAGGAAGGGGAGCCTGGGCCAAACCCCCAAACTTCCAAGAGGAGATTTGAGGGGGAGGAATGCAATCCAGGCATGACCACCAGCCCGTTTGGATACACAGAGGTGGTGAGTGTAGGGTCAGGTCTGAGGAAAATGGGTTGCTTGGCAGAATGCAGAGTGTGTGAAGGGAAACAGGGCTGGAAAGTCAGACTGGAACCCAATTGTGAAGGGCCTTCAATGCCATTTCCTTTCCCTGGTCCTCGGTCCTCTCTGGCCTGGCCCCCTGGACATCTGCCAACATGTCAGCTGCTATTAGCTCTTATCCCATGTCCTTTGCCTTTGAGTTGGAAGGCACAGAATTAGAATGGAGAAAGTATACTCTGGACTGACAAGCATTTATTAAGCACCTGCTGTATGCCAGGAACTGTGCTAAGCACTGGGGATACAAAAAAAAAAAGGCAAAAATACTTGCCCTCCAGGAGCTAACATTCTAATAAGGGAAACAACAAATAAATCGCTAGGTGCACAGAAGATCCAGGTGGGGTGGAGTATAATCTAAGAGGGGAAGGCTAGCAGTCAAGGTTCTGGAAGAAGCCTCTTGCAGAAGGCGAGACTTGAGGGGCAGCTAGGTAGCACAGTGGATAAAGCACCGGCCCTGAAGTCAGGAGGACCTGAGTTCAAATTTGGCTTCAGACCAAACACTTGACACTTACTAGCTGTGTGATCCTGGGCAAGTCACTTAACCCCAATTGCCTAAAAGAAAAAACAGGTGAGACTTGAGTGGAGTCTTGAAGGAAACTAGGAAGCTAGGTGAGGAGGGAAGGCATCCCAAGCATGAGGGACAGCCAGTACAAAGGCAAGAAGATGGGAAATGGAGTGTTGCGTTTGAGGAACAAGAAGAATGCCATTGTAGCTGGGTGGTTGAGTATGTGGGAGGTAGTAATGTGTAAGATTAGAAAGGGAGGAAAGAACCAGGTTGTGAAGTGTTTTCAAGGTCCTTTGCCCAGAAGACTTCAGTATGGAAGGCCAGGGATGGCCAAGTGTGCAGGGAAATGGGGGCTTGGACTTTGATCAATGTAGATTGGCTCTGTGTCCTCCCTGGGCCCCATCCGTACCTCTCTCTGCCCAGGAATGGAAGATGGGGGATGGGGGGGCACTGCAAAAAGCCATATTTAAATGGGTCACAGCCTTTGATATGTAAAGGCAGTGAACTGTCCAGACCCAGAGTCAGCAGATGTGTCTGAAAGCTTCTGCGGAGTCATCCCCTCCACTACTCCCCCAGCCCCCATGACTAACCGAACACAGGCTTGAAACAATTGACCAAGGCTGAAGGACAGTTTCAGTTTGTGTGAAACCAGGTCCCTGCTCAGCGACCTCACAGGCTAGGAGAGATGGGATACCCCTGCCAGCCCGTCTACCCCCACAGAGAGCAGTATATGATATGCCAGCGCTGCAAGAACTACAGAAAAAGTGCCCTGTCAGTGCTCAGTAATGACTACTGGACAGATCGAATCTACAGGTGTTGAAAGGGTACAGTGTTAAAGGGGGTAAGAGCGAGGGCAGGGTCCATGGCTTATCAGGATTCTGCCTATGAGTCAGCAGTGTGGTATAATAGCCAAGAAAGTGAAGGTGATGTCAGGCTTTATTAAAGTGGGCCAGAGGAGGGGAGAGTCCCTCTGGTCAGGCTACAAATAGAAGCTTGAGTTCAGTTCTGGGCACCACAGATAAGGTGGAGTATCCAGACGAGGGCCACACCCAGAAGGTGAAGGGCATGAGTCTGCCACACCTGTTTCACCAGTCTCCAGGGTAAGGCCTCCTGAAACAGGTGTCTCAGCTTGAAGGAACTGGGAATGTTTCACCTGGAAAAGAGGAGACTCAAGGGGGACGTGAGAGATGCCTTCAAGTATCTGGAGATCTGCCAGGGGGAAGAGGGTTGAGTGTTGTTCTCCTTGGCCCCAGAGCCAGAACCAGAGACAGGGGGACAGACAGGAAAATTTTCCCAACAAATGGAGAGATGGGAGGTCTGTCCCTCTCCTTTGGGTTCTTCAAGCAGATGCTGAACAACCATTTGTTGGGAATGGACACATGGTGGCCAAGGCTGCACCCCACGGTATCTGGGTTCTCTCTCCTCCAGTTCTGGGTGTAAGGAGAGGGTTACTACTGTCCTTCCTTGCCTGGCCAGCCAGCAGCATCCTTAGCAGGGATGGGTGATGCCCGATTCCTCTTCTTGCTCCCCAGAGCCTGGCAGGGCTTGGCCACACATTTGCTGAATTAGAGTCTTCCTGGGTGAGGAAGCCCATCCTTCCCCGCGCCACAACCTACTTAGTCCTTCCCCTCTGTGGCTGCTCCTATCAGTCCTCTGAGGGGGCCCCTCCTCTTTTCCTCCCCACCTCCCCAGCCTGCAGCCCACACATCCTGCTGGGCTCTTTCCTCTTTCAGCCAGAAAAACCGGAAAGAGTTTTTTGGGCAGAAACGTCCCTCCCCCATGCCCTGGGAATCCCCGGGCCGGAACGGACCACGGGATATCCAGGAGGAAGTATCCCATTGCCAACCAACACAAAGCACAGGGCAGCTGTGGTCAACAAGGCCATCATGTCCAGTCCCCTGCCTCAGGACTGTCCTGCTAGCAGAGCTGAGAGAAAGTTCTTGTTTTCTAAGGAAGATGATGCCCAGCATCTCTGCAGAGCAGTGCCAGGAGTGTCTGCATTGAGGGTGGCTAGACACGGGCCTGGTCCTTGGACCTAATATAGCGCAGGGAAAATGGAGAAGGCATTGAGCCCATGACTGTGGTAGGGTCTGGGGGGAGATGCCCAGTTTCCACTGAAGCCAGCCCAGCCCCTCCCCTCATGGAGCTCAGCTTCTAGCAAGGTCTGCCTGGCCTCTACCCAGACCTCCAGTGCTCCAGATGACATGCTGGGTGCATCAGCGAGGGCCGGGGAAGCTGCTGGGGGAGGTCTGAGTGGGGCAGGCTATGACCGCTTGGCATATAGGAGGTCCTTGGTAAATGTCAAGTGTGGATTCTATCAAGAAAGCTTCCTGTGGGAGGTGGAATTTGGGTTGACCTTGGAAGGATGGGTAGGATTTCAATATGGGGGATGGGGGAGTCCAATGTTCCAGGTTTCAGGAACAGTGTGAAAAAAGGCAGGAACAATAACCTAGGTTTATAGATCCGGAGATGGTCGGGACCTTAAAGACCATCGTTCTCAACCCCCTCATTTTACAGATGAGGAAACTGAGGTTCAACCAGGTTATACAATGTTTGTCTAGGGTCACATAGTAAGTATCTTGAGTGACGGGTAGGGTGTCCTGAGGGCAGGGGGCTAGCCACTCATAGCTCCATCTGTTTCCTGTAGGCCAGAGGCTTCAGCCACCCAGCCATGGCTTTGTGCCTGAAACAGGTGTTCAACAGAGACAAGACGTTCCGGCCTCGGAAGCGCTTTGAGCCGGGCACCGAACGCTTTGAGCTCTACAAGAAGGCGCAGGCCTCGCTGAAGTCGGGCCTGGACCTGCGGGCCGTGGTGCGGCTGCCACCTGGGGAGAGCATCAATGACTGGCTGGCCGTGCACGTGGTGGACTTCTTCAATCGCATCAACCTCATCTACGGGACGATGGGAGAGTGCTGCACAGAGGCCAGCTGCCCCGTGATGTCAGGTGGCCCGCGCTATGAGTACCGCTGGCAAGATGAGCAGCAGTACCGGCGGCCCGCCAAGCTGCCCGCACCCCGCTACATGGCGCTGCTCATGGACTGGATCGAGGGGCTCATCAACAATGAGGACGTCTTCCCCACCCAAGTGGGTGAGTGCCCTAGCCTGTGGTGGGAGGGAGGCAGAGGCTGGGGGCGTCAGGAAGCCCCGTGGACAGGGGAAGAGGAAGACAGGCACAGCCCTGCCCTGGGGAGCCCACGTGGGGAGGCAGCTCTTGGCCTGCAAGGAACTCCCGTTAAATGACAGTCCCTGAGTAGGAGACGGAGTCCTGGAGGGAGAGGACTGGGGCTCCGTAGAGGAAAGAACACAGTGATGGTATTCTCCTCCTCCTCTTATCTCCTCCGTCCAGAAGCTGGGCCTCTGGCTTTAGGCAGAGTGTCTCTGACCCACCCTCTTGCTGAGGTATCCCTGACCTCATTCTGCTGGGGCTGGGGAGGAAGGCAGTCAACTAAGGAAAGATAGCATAGGCATAACAGCTTGTGAGGCCTCAACCATGTCCCCACCCAGCCCAGCTCCCTCTCTGGGGAATGGGATCTCTCTGTGGCCTGTGGACTCAGGCAGTGTTGATGCAGGCCCTTCTCACTCTATGGATTAGAAAGACTCCCTTGGCCTGGCTGGGTCTTCCCAGTAAGAGTCCCTAACACTGAAAGTGTCCCATCAGACACTGGGCGACTCCCCGAGGGTCCAGCCTTGAGAAGGAGGGGGGTCTAGGTGAACTTGGAGGTTCCTTCCAGCTTTGGGGATCTAGAAGTGTCTCCACTCATCCCTGCCTCAGCACGGGGGAGGGAGAGCTTAGGGTCTCAAGGAGAGCCTGAGAAAGTTTGGAAATGGCCGAGGCCATGCTGTTAAAGGAACAAGGAGGATCTAGCCTAGAGAACCAAAGTTGAAGTGCGGGGATACAGCCCAGTGGTGGGAAGAATGTTAGATGTAGACTCAGAGGACGTGGGTTCAAATTCTGCCTTTTCTAGTCACTGTCTTGTAATTTAAGCTGCTTCCCTTCTTTGGACCTCCACCTTATCATCTCTAAGGCAACGTCTTAGTGGCCTCCAACGTGCTCTGTAGCACTAGTTCTGTGAGCCGGGGAAAAAGCCATAGCTGCCTGGGGGAGTCACAACTCTTGACAGTATGTCAGAGGGGGCAGAGGGCCAGGAGGTCTGGGATCAACTGTTTGCCTGGGTCAGGCCTCTTTGGAAGGCTAGGTTTGTTACTGGGCACCACATTTTAAGAAGGATGTTGATCAGCTGCCTGGATGGAGAGTAGCCTTGGGCCCATGTCTTAGGAGTCTCTGTTGAGGGAGCTTGGGGTGTTTAAACTGGAGAAGAGAAGGCTCGGGTAGATGAGCGCCGTCTTGAGTATTTGAAGGGCTGTAATGTGGAGGAAGGATCAGTCTTTTTCTGTTTGGTCCCTGAGGTCAGAACTAGGAAAAACAGAGGGGGAGGGGAGGTTGCAAAGATGCCAATTTAGTCGGGATGTCAAGAAGAACTTCCTAAAGTGGATTGGGCTATCTCAGGAACTTCCTAAAGTGGATTGGGCTATCTCAGGAGGTAGTGAGCTCCCCGTCTTTGGAGGTCTTTAAGCCGAGGCTGGACAACCCCTAGTCTGGGATGTGACAGCAGAGATTCCTTCCTGGTTGGGTCTCTTCCAACTCTCAGATTCCATGATTCTGATCTTAGACAACAGGTCTGCTCCATCTCCCGGCCTAGACTCAAAGTCCCTCTGGCATGGTAGGGTCTACCAGAAGTTCTGTATCGCTGGGAGAGCCTTCAAGAGCCACCTCCCATCCACACCAGAGAAGAAGCTACTATGGGTCAGTCAGTTACAGATGAGCAGCAAGGCCCCAGGACACTGCTGGGTTCAGCGTCCCACATGTCTAGTGTCTAGGTCTCCCTTACCCCAGCTGGATAATACAAGTCACTGGGGAAAGCAGACTCCACGATGGCTGGTTCCAGGTATGGAGGTGGGCTTTCTTCCGGCCTCTAGCCACTCAACTGGTCCCTCCTCCCATAGATCCCTCCCTCCCCCAGAAAGCCATTCACAAGCCCCATTTTTTTCCAGACTACAAGCCTCCCTTCCTGTCTTGGGTCACACCCCCCGAGCCAATCACCAGCCTCTGTCAGTCACTGTGACCCTCACCTTTTCCACATACATACTCCATGTCACACCCATAAGATAGCATTGTTCCCCAGGAAAACATGGGTGTAACTGCTTATATGTAAGATGACAGAACCCTAGAGTCCCCAGTTGGAAAGGACCTTTGAAGTCATCCAGTTCCACTGTAAAAACCTGTCACCAGGTAGGTGGCTACCCAGCCTCTATTTGCATATCTCCCATGACAGGGAGCTCACTACTTGAGAAGACTGCCCATGCAGCTTAGAGCGTTAGAAAGTCCTTCGTAAGATTAAGCAGAAACCTTATCCCTCATTAGGTCGCGATTAGGCAGCAAGGATATTCAACAAACCTTTATTAAAACATGTGGAGCCTACAATATGAAGAGACATGGGTTTGGGGATAGATGAGGTCTGGCCCAGGCCCTGCCTTCATGGCACTGCCAGACTCAGAGGGGGGTACACTCAGACAACAGTACATATAATGTTCCCTAACTCAAGACGGACAAATACAGTGTGACATGAGATCTAATGGGGAAGGTGCTGGAAGCCTGGGGAGCCAGGGGAGGGGGCATCCTGGGATCAGTGGCAGTGGACTGGGGGCGTGAAAGACGGGACAGGAATTCAACAGTAGGATGGAAGTTCCTTAGAGGCAGAAACCGTGTTGTTTTTGGCTTCTCTGTGCCTGGCATGTGGTAGGCACTCAAATAAATGTTGATTGCATTGAACCAAAAGAAACTGGCAAAGACAGAAAGCACCATAAGGAAGTAATTACCTAGGCAGAGGCCCAGAGGTGGGGTTGAGGATGGTCAGGGCACCTTCCTAAGGCAGACTTATCCTGCTTGGCTGGCTCGTAGTGTGTGTGCAGGAGAGTGATGGAATGAAGCCGGATGCTGCCAGATCACAGAGAGCCTTGAACGCCAGGAAAACAAGTGAGTGTGAACATGACTCAGTGGGCAAAAGGGAGACCATGATGATGTTTAGAGCAGAGGAGAGACCACATGTGATGTGATAAAAGATGATTCTGGCAGTGATGGGGAAGCCCTGAATGGGAGCTAATGCCATAGTCCTCATGGGTGATGAACTTGGGCCCTTTCCTATTGTGATTGCCTTCCCCTGGCCATACTCCAGCTTTCCTAAAACGCAGGGCTGACAGCTGAACACAAACCCCCAGTTGTGGCCAGTCCAGGGCAGAGGACATTTCAGTCTTTTTTTTTTTTTAGTGAGGCAATTGGGGTTAAGTGACTTGCCCAGAGTCACACAGCTAGGAAGTATTATGTGTCTGAAGCCGGATTTGAACTCGGGTCCTCCTGAATCCAGGGCCAGTGCTCTATCCACTGCGCCACCTAGCTGCCCCAGGATATTTCAGTCTTGTGTGACTCTTCATGACCCCACTTGGGGTTTTCTTGGCCACTGGAGTGGTTTGCCGTATCCTTCTCCAGCTATTCTGCATATGAGGAAGCTGAGGCAAACGGGGTGAAGTGACTTGCCCAAGGTCACACAGCTAGTAAGTGTCTGAGGCCAGATTTGAACTCTGGAAGAGGAGTCTTCTTGACTCTAGACCTGGTGCTCTGTCTACTGCACCACCTTACGACTGGCTCTCCAAAAGCAGCCTAGGATCCTACCAGCTCTTCTGGCTGAACTGCACATTGCTACTGACTGACAAGGAGCTTGCAGCCCACTGTAAACCTCACATCTCTTTCAGACAAATTGCAGCCACACCATGCCTCCCCCATCTTATACTTTAAAAGCTGCTTTTCTTGAAACCCAAATGTGAGATTTTACATTTCCCTCCATCAAATTTCGATGTGTAAGACAGCCCAGCATAGGGGATAAAGGCCCAGCCTTCATATCAGGAAGACCTAAGTTCATATCCAGCCTTGACTCAACCTGGCAGTGTGACCCTGGACAAGTCACTTATCCTCTCAATGCCCCAGAAAGCTCTGAGTCTAAGTCATAGAGGAAGTATCCAGAACTGGGCTCCTTCCCTGTCCCCATAAACCCTCCCTTTTTCTGAACTTTCCAGTTACTATGAGGACACTACCATCTTCCTGGTCACCATCTTCGGCCCCTCACTTGAGTTCCCTCCATATATTGATTTAATCCTGTGCAAAGCTTGAAATTTCTACCTCTGCCATGTCCATTGTCTCCTCAGACACAGCCCCCACCCTAGCACAGGCCCCCATCACCTCCCACCTGGACTATTGTAGTAGCTGCTGGCGGGTCTGCCTGCCCTGTCTCTCCCCTCTCCAGGCCATCCTCCATTCAACCACTGAAGCAAAGGTCTGACCTTGTTAGATCCCCCCACCCTCTCACTAGACTCCCATCACCTCCACTTTCAAATAGAAAACCCTCTGTTTGTTTGGCACTCAAAGCCTGGCCTCTTTTCATCTACCTTTCCAGGCTTCTCTCTGTGCCATGTAGCCATGGAGGAGCCGGTGGAGTTGGAGATGGCCTGCTTAGAGAAACAGAAGAACTAGAGAGTAGGGGGTCTCTGAAATGTTGGGAGGGGAGACGAAATCGAAGCAGGGGAAATGGGTAAGAGCAGGAGTCAACACCTGTGTTCAAGCCCCCAGCTGGCACTTACTAGCTGTGAGATAATTGGCACAGAACTTAGGTTCTCAGAGCCTCACTTTCCTCATCTGTAAAATGGGGCTAATAACCCTCACCTTACTGTCCTCAGAGGGTCATGGGGAAAGCACTTTGTCAATTTTAGGGAGATTTAGTTTCAGCAGTGTCTGTGGCTACAGGTGAGGGTTCAATAAAGTCCTTTAGATTTAGAGGCAGAGGGGATAGAAGCCAGATTGAAATGAGCAGAGAAAAGACTGAGACGTGCTATTTTTCCATCTGGTGAATTGGTTGAGGACTTTCATGGTCTCAGTTGCCATCTTTCCAGTGTGGAAGGGCGGGAAGCGTTTTTGTTTTTGTATCTGTTACCTGGTACAGTGCTTGGCATACAGTAGGCACTTAATAAATGCTGGTCAAATGGATGATTTTTAAAAAAGGAATACTATTTTTACATCGTGGTGGAGGCATCCACCCCTGTGCAGAGGCAGGAGGCTCACAAGCATTGCCTACCACACATCTTTCCAGCCTTTTTTAATGTATCAATCAATTAGGCTGGCTTTTTCCTCTCTCTTTTTAAACCTTTTAAAAATTGCTATTTGTTATATGGGATGGCTCTGTGGGAGGGGAAAGGATACAGGGGAAAACTGTAATGTTATAAAAAAAAAGTCAAGATGTATCAATAAACATTTATTTTCTAAATAATTTGTTAAGAAGTATATTGGGAGACAGGATCAAAGCAGAGAGAGGACCCCTCCTAGCTTGGTGACTTTCAGCGAGTCACTCACTTGTCTGGGCCTCAACATTCTTATTGGCAGAGTTAGCAGAATGAGATGGAGAAAACAGCTCTGCCTTAGAGCATGAAGACTGAGGGAAGATGAGAAAGTGACCTGGAGTCTGGGGTTCTAATAGTGGCTCTGTCATGAGATCACTGGTTGGTGGTCTCTAAGCTAAGGTCTCTCCCCCTAGCTCTGGCATTTTGGGCTCCTCTGGGATCTGCAGAGGGCCTGTATGCTCCAATCAGTGCCTCCAGGAAAGCAAACACAGATAAGTACCCGAAGAAGGAAGGTCTTGACTTTAGATTTATTGGAAGTGGACCCAGCAGAGGACCACGAGGAAAAGGTCAGCGCTCCCTGATTTAGGCGGTCGCAGGAAGCAGGATGGGTGTTCTCCTGTCCAAGGAGGACCAAAAGAAGGCTGAGAGACACAGGCAGAGAAGCAGACAAGCTGCTGGGAGGTGGGTGGGTTCCTCTCAGCTACTGCCCAACCTTATTCATTAGAAGAGGTTCTTCTGCCGGGGATGATTGCTCAGCTGTGTGAGCTGTGTGTTTGTGTAGGGATGACTGGGGACCCTATGGCAGGTTCCTGCCCTACTTTGCCTGTTTATAGGTTGTGGAACTGAGCTGGAGTGGGGCCTGGTCTATTCTGGGAATTGAGGGAACCAACCTATGATGAGAAACAGCCCCAGGCTGGCCCACAACATGGCAGTGTGAGGCTTTCTGCGCTGTCACCACAAGGGGCAGTATGGAGCCAGGGAGGCCATCTCCTCCAGTAAGACTGGAACCATCCTGCACATGGCTGAAATGGAAGCTATTGTAATCAGCTGACTGCATAAAGCCGAAGTGGGTTTGATGGGAAGAGTGTTGGGATTTGGAGGTCCGGATTCCAGCTCTGCCACTAACCACCTGCCCAGTTGTAACCTTCACCTGTGCTGGGGCTTCTGAGCTTCTGTCTCCTGTAAAATGAGGAAGCTGGATTAGACAGCGTTGGCCGTCCCTTCAAATTCCAGAGCTATGCTCCTCTGCCCTGCCTGGGATAAAGCCATTAGCAGCCTGGACTAGATGAAAAGATGTTTGCATTTGCGGAAGCATTTTTGAGTTCCACATCAGCCTCGGCAACAGAGGTGTAGGTGGGGCCTTCACTGACAAATTTGCTCATCGTTTTTTCCTCCTGAAGCTAAGGGTCTGAGGCCTATTAACCTAAGCTATTCCTTCTCTTTCATTTTCTGCTCTCAGAATGAATCTGAAGGGAGTGGTGGACTGGGCAGGAAGCTCAGGGCATGATCTCAGAGTGAGATGTAAATGAGAGGTGAATTTTTGCCTCTTCTCTTTCTTCAGAATGGGGCAGAGGACCCCAGTGTCCTGGCTCTTCTGCAGGGAAATGAGCTTGGAAATGGGGGCAAGGTACATATGAAGGGACTATTGTACAGGGGTCTGAATATCCCAGGGTCCAGATGTCCAGGGGTCTAGATATCCAGGGATCTATATGTCCAGAGGTCCCTATGTCTAAGGGCCCTGATGTCCTGGAGTCCTAAATATCCAGGGGTCCAAATGTCCAGAGGTCCCTATGTCCAGGAATGTCTAGGGTTCTGGACCTCCGGGGTCCAGGTGTCCAAGGGCCCAGATATCTGGGAGGTCTGGATTCCAAGGGTCTGGATTCTGAATCAGTTCTTTCTCCCTTACCTGCAGGTGTCCCCTTTCCCAAGAACTTCCAGCAAGTGTGCACCAAGATCCTGACCCGCCTTTTCCGTGTCTTTGTCCACGTCTACATCCACCATTTTGATGGCATCATCGCCATGGGTGCCGAGGCCCACGTCAACACCTGCTACAAGCATTTCTACTACTTTATCCAGGAGTTCAGCCTCGTCGACCACCGGGAGCTGGAGCCACTGGTGAGACAGGCCTCAGGCCTCTCTGCCCCTACAGCTGTTCTAGGCCCTCTTGCCTCCTTGCCCACCATGTCTATTTCTCCAGGGCCTTAAGGCTTACAAACCACTCCCCAACCCCCAAAGCCCATTATTAGCCCCATTTCATGGTGGAGGAAACTGAGGGCCCAAGAGCCCAGGGTCACAGAGCTAGTGAATGTCTGAGCCAGGCTTTGAACCCAGGTCTCCTGCCTTCAGGCCCACTCCCTCTGCAGACTCCATGTCTTCATATCTAAGCACAGGAGCCATTACCCTGCTGGGGGAGATGCCCACTCTCTCTGTGGACACTCTATTGTCCTCTACCCATCAAGGGCAGTGCAGGGCTCCTCTCCAGACCTGTCCACGTTGAGGTTTTGTGGCAGGAGGACCGCAGTCTCAAGCCTTTGGCCACTCTGTTTGGGGCTTGATGGTTTTAGGGGTGGTCACAGCAGTAAGGAAGCCTAATGTATAAAATTCTAGCTAGATAAATAAGGAGACAGAGGTCATTCTTATTATAGTGGGATCCTTCCCCTCACCATTTCACTGCCACAGACTTTCATGAAGCCCAGAGAACGCACTGGGGAACTGCCCCAGAGGACGAGATTACAACCTTCTCAAGGGGGGAATGGACTGGGGTGGGGGTGGGGGGAGAACAGGCCTTGAGGCCTAGGGGCTTCCTGATCCTTTGTCCTGACCTTCTTTGTCCATGCTTTTGACATTCCAGAGAGAGATGACAGAGAGGATCTGTCATTGAGCCCCCAACTGCTTGGAGGAAGATGCTGAACTTTGGCCTGGAGCTCCTGGGACCTTGGTGGGGAAAAGGCCACCACTCCCATAACTGTGGCCATGGAGGACCCACAGCCGCTCCCTTCCTCTGGTGACCCTCCCTGAGGCCCTCCAAATTCCAGTTTTCATTTTCCAGAGTCTGCCCACACTCTCTCCTGCTGGAAGGCGGTAGGGAAGGACCAGGAAGAAAGATAGACAAAAAAGGGACACACTTCAGAAATTACTTCGAGGGAGGGTGTCATGAATCTGAAATTTCCTTTGGGAGGCCTTCCCCACCTTCACCCCAAGCCAGACAAGACCCCTGAGCCTTTCAGGGAGGTAGATGATGTGGGGGTATAATTACAACCAAAAATTCTTCGACAGTATAGGGGCCAGAGCCAGGAGGGCTGTGTGTGACCCTGTGACCTGCCTTCAAGGGACTGTCAGTGAAGTCCAGAAGCATTTATTAAGTGCCTTCTATGTGCCAGGCACTGAGCTGAGGGCTGTGTGTCTGGCTGACTGGCTCTTGCGCCTAGGTCTATGTGTAGGTGTGATTCCTTCCCTGTGTGTATGTGTGTGGTTGTGTATTCCCGTGTGACTCCCTGGCTTCATGTGTCAGAGCTGAGGGCCTTGTCCATATGCAGCTGTAAGTGGGGGGAGAGTGTCTATGCCATCATTCCTCCCCCAGGGAGGACCTGTAGATCCAAGGATTAAGAAAGGGCTCCCTGAACAGTTGGGACCCTGATCCTAGCTGCCCTGAAGGCCCCCTACCCAACTCTGGTTCCCAGCCTGAGGCTCTCCTAGGAGACGTCACCCATATTGAGAGGGAGGGGGCGGTGTGGAGGGCCCTGCTGCTCTCAGAGGTGCCCTGTCCTTCCCCACCTCAAGAAGTCATTTTCAGGGGATTGACCACAAGCCCACCAACCAAGCAGGCCTTGCCTGCATCCAGCCAAGCTCTGGTGTGCTGTATAACCTGAGCTACTGCTGCTGTCTTTGGCCCAGATGGAAGCCATGTGCTGAGAGCCCTTGCAAAGACATCTGTGGGCAAAGCCAGTCTGGGCTCCCGAGGCTAATCTTAGGCTGTCAGGGCACCACAGAATAAGCTACTTGAATTGAAGAGACCATTCTTAGATTCTTGCCCAAAGCAAGAGCAGATCTGGCCTTTTTGTCAAGCCCTTCAGGGAAAACCACTTTTCAGGATTCTTTACTGCTTAAAGCAAGAGTTACCAGTTAGAGAAGCATGGAGGAGTATGTGTATCCAAGCCAGATTCCTCCTTCTCATTCTGTGCATTCATGCACACCCATCCTTCACACACTCATTGAAGACCCAGTGGGGTTGGAGGTGGAGAAAGAGTGAATGGGAGAGAGCTGAGGCCTGCTGGGGATGCCTGCTGACCTCTCCCCTCCGCCTTCCCAATCACCACCCTAATTAGATGCCACTGAGTTCTGCCCACTTATTCAGCCAATCATTACTGAACCTTCCCCCCAACTCTGAGCCAGGCCTAGCCAGGGGAGAGATGTGAGAAGGAGCAGAGCTAGTCCCTGCCCTCGGGAGCTTGTGGTCTTAGCGTCTCAGAATGCAGGATTTCAGCAGAGTCTTTACCTGCCCACCTTGTAAACTCTGATGGAAGCTTTGCTGGGACCAGAGCCAACCAGGCTAAAGTAAGAGGGTGGGGGGAGACCCTCATGCCCTGAGACCTGAGCCTAATTGACTTCTGCCATTCCCAGAGACTATTCACTCTGAAGGTGTGGAAGGAAGCAGACTGCGGGGAGGGGGGTATAGTCTGAGCCGGGGGGGGGGGGGTTGGATTCCAGGAAGCCTTGGCTTCTACTGGGGGTCCACCCACACCCCTCCACCCAGTGGCTAATCAGAGTAGTTGGAATCACCTTTTGCTGGGGTCAGTGCTGATCCATAGGGAAGGGGAAATTATTTTTCTTACATGAAGGAAAAGAGTGTATTGTTTCTATTTTAAAAAAGAAAAATAAAGAAGAAAGACAGTCCGTGTCTCTGTGTCTGACCAGATGGGCTCCTTTGATGTCCAAAGATTTAAAAAGCAAGGACAACCACACCCCAGAGGGAAGGGCTTAGGTCTGAGATCCAAAGCCCTGCCTAGGGTAGAGCTGGTATGGCTCTGAGCTCTGGGTAGGAGGGCTCAGCCTAAGGCTGGTGGGGTCCTGGAGCTCTGACCAGCTGGGGCTTCCACTGGTGCAGAGAAGAAGGAACACAGGGGCTCCCCTAGAAGTGCTGGGGGGCTGGCCCTCGGAAAGACTTCTGAGCACTCTATGGGAGGATTTAGAAGGGAGAACTAAGAGCCCTGGTCTGGCCCCCCAAGACTGGTCCAACCCAGGCTCCAGACCTTGTCTTCTTTCCTCTCGGAGTCAGAAGTGGCCCTTCCTGATCCCTAGGCTAGGGGACACAGCAAACAAACCTTATGGGCCCAGGAATGATGTGCCCATGTTTTCTCTGGGCTTAGGCTAGACTTCCAGAAGTCTTCAGGCCGGCCCCACTGATGGTGCCTAGAATTACTTCTGGGAGGTGTGATGAACCCCAAGCCACAGAATCTCCAGGCTGGAAGGGACTTAGATCCCCTGGACACATCGCTGTCATCCACCCTTCCTTGGGGCACAGGTGGGCCGTTCACTTCTTCACCAGGCAGCTCATTGCTTTGTCCAGCAAAGTTCTACCAACCCTACAGCATACTGGATCTGTCTCCACTCAGCCCCAGGCTCTCCTCCTCTTCCTCCTCCTCCTTCATCAGCCCTGGCACCTCTGTCTGCCTTCTGGGGCTGAGTAGAACCCCCCAAAGATCTGGCAAATACTTGGAGACAGCTCTCATGTCCCCCAGAGCCATCCCTTCTATGGGAGGGGATGAGGGAGAGAAACACAACACCTACACTGATTAGTCACTACGAAGTGTATATGTAAATGTATATGTAAAGTCAATTCAGTGATTTCGAGAGTGAAGGATCACTGACAGCTAGGGGAACCGGGAAGGGCCAGTGTCGGAGGGGGCCCCTGGGCTGAGGAAAGTTGTGCTTGTCACTCCACCCTAGGAGCACTTGGAGCAGGTGGGCTCCCAGGGCGACCCTCCCCATCACCCAGAAGTGAGCTGCCTTCGTATCACTAACTCAGAAAGCTTGCTCTGATCACGCTCACCTGCATGAACTGGTGGACCAGCCGATCAGTGCTCAGGGAAATTATGCGGCTCCTAGGATCAGGGCCCGAGAGGACTTTAGAGGTGATCAAGCACAACCCCCTTATTTTACAGATGAGTAAACTGAGGTCTAGAGAGGTCAAGTGATTTCCCAGAGGCACACAGCTAGAGATTCGAACCCAGGTCTTCCTGACTCCAAGCCCGGTGCCCTGTCTACTGTAACCTGCTGCTGCCTTTCAGGTTCTAGATCTAACTTACAAGAGAGAGACTTAGATCTCTCCCATATGCCCCCTTCTCTTCTCTGATACTGCCACCCTGCCCCGGTGCAGACCTTCCTCACCTCCAACTTGATCTGTTGCACTAGCTGCTGGGGGGGGGGGTCTGTCTGCCTCAAGCCTCTCCCCACCCCAATCCTTCCTCCACTCCAGCTGCCAAAGTGATCTTCCTAAAGTGTGGGTCTGACTATAGCATCCCCCTACTTCATAAACTCCAGCAGCTTCCCGTTACCTCCAGAATCAACTGTAAAAATCCTCTGTCAGTCAGTCAATAGGCTTATTGTGGTGTCAGGAGTTAGAGCAATCTAGTAATAAACATTTATTAAGGACCTACTGTGTGCTAAGCATCGTGCTAAAGACTAGGGACCTGAAGAAAGGCAAAAGACAGTTCCTGCCCTCAAGGAGCCCACAATCTAATGGAGCATTTAAACCCCAAGCACTGTTAGATTCGGTGATACCGGGCTCCTTGGTATTGCTTGAATAAGACCCTCCATTTCTCACCTCCAGGTGAGGCACTGGCTGTGCCCCCTACCTGGAATGCCTTCCCTCCTCATCTGTGCCTCTTGGCTTCCTTCAAGTCCCAGCTAAAATCCCAGCTTCTAGAGGAAGCCTTTACTGATCACACTTGGTGCTAGAGCCTCCTCTCTGTTAATTGGTCACAATCTATCCTATCAGTGGCTTGTTTTGTGCCATCTCTCCCATTAGACTGAGAGCTCCTTGGGGGCTGGGACTGGCTGTTACCTTTCTTTGTATCTCTAGCACTTAGCTAGATAAATGCTTGTTGACTAATGAGAGAGAAGGAGGGTGGTAGTGAGAGACAGAGACAGAGAGAGAGACAGAGAGACAGAGATGGAGAGAGAGATAGAGAGAGAGACAGAGAGAGACAGAGAGAGAGACAGAGACAGAGAGACAGAGACAGAGAGACAGAGAGAGAGACAGAGACAGAGAGAGAGAGACAGAGAGAGACAGAGAGAGAGACAGAGACAGAGAGACAGACAGAGAGAGACAGAGAGACAGAGATGGAGAGAGAGATAGAGAGAGAGACAGAGAGAGACAGAGAGAGAGACAGAGACAGAGAGACAGACAGAGAGAGACAGAGACAGAGAGAGAGAGACAGAGAGACAGAGATGGAGAGAGAGAGAGAGAGAGACAGAGAGAGACAGAGAGACAGAGACAGAGAGACAGAGAGAGAGACAGAGACAGAGAGAGAGAGAGACAGAGAGAGGTGGGGAAAGGGAGGGAAAAGAAAGGGAAAGAAGAGAGGGCAAGGGAGGGAGAGAGAGGAGGGAAGGAGAGAAGGGCAGAGAGAGAGAGATCTGGGATTTCTTCTGTGGGGATGCTTCCCCTCTGTTTATCTCCTGGTCCCCATGCAGAACAGGGGCTCATGGAGTCTTAGAGAGCGGCAGCCCTATTCTGCCCCTGAGATTGACTGTGGGTCCCGCAGGTGACCAAGGAATGTGAGGACCAGCAGCATATTTCCCCAAGGTTTTAAACCTCAAAGGAGGCCAGATGGAAAAGTACTGACAAGAGCCTTGTGACTTATCTAGTGTTGTGCAAGAGGAGGAAGGCAGAAAGGAGGGGGCCCTGTGGTGTCACAAGTTATCTCTGGAAGGATATTGCAGGACAGCTGAGAGGAGACAGTGCTCAGGAAACAGAAACTTAAACAGAAAAGCAAAATGAGACATGAGTGATAGTATTATCTTGTAGAAAGTCTTTGAGGCATCCCAGATGGAGAGCCTGATTTGGAGTCAAGAAGACCTGGGTTCAAACCTTGCACTTGCTGGGTAAGTCACTTAACCTCTGTCTGCCTCAGTTTCCTCATCTGGGGTCACTCTTTCATCCTGGAAGGCCAATTCCCCCAAGGGCAGCTGACTATTGCTCCATTTACAATTCCAAGGACAACTTGGAGGGGTTGTAGTTTCTAATACTACCACTCTTGAGCCCCTATCTGGTGTGCTTCCCAAGAGCAATCAGCCAGTTGATATTGATTAGCTTTTACAAAAGAATATTTATTGAGAAGGTATAGCAAGGACAGAAGATATAAAAACAACTGCCCATCCTTCTCCCTAAACCAAGACGCACATTCTCCCTTACACACACATACACACAGTGCCTGGGGGAAGTTGGTTCAAACTTAAGAATGCAAAGGTAGTGAGGTAGACATGTAAGGATCATGAGGGCCAAGGGATAGTTTTATGAATCCTGTCCCTGAGAGTTCTTTTCTCCCTTAATGGAGTGCCCACCATCTTTGCTTTGGGTAGAAGTGTTAATGATGAACAAATTACTTCCAGCTGGTGGTGCAGTGGATAGAGCGTTGGGCCTAGAGCCAAGAAGAATCGAATTCAAATCTGAACTCGGACACTTACTAGCTGTGTGACCCTGGGCAAGTCACTTAACCTCTATCTGCCTCAGTTTCCTCATCTGTAAAATGGGGATAATAATAGCACCTACCTCCAAGGGTTATGAGGATCAAATGAGAAAATATTTGTAAAAGCAATTAGCCCAGTGCCTGGCACACAGTAGGTGCTCTACAGTGCTTATTCTCTTCTCCCACCTCCAACTTTGCACAGACTGTTCCCTCCCCTCACCATGGCCTCCTGGCCATTCCATGAACAAGACCCGTCATTTCTCCACTCAGGGAATTCTCTCTTACTTTCCCCCCTGTCTGGAACACTTTCTCCTCCTCTCCTCTCCAACTACTGACCTTCCTGGCTTCCTGTAAGTCCCAACTAAAATCCTACCTTCTACAGGAAGCCTTCCCTAATCCCTCTTAATCCCAGTGCCTTCCTTTTAAAATTATTTCCTATTTTTCCTGTATAGATGTTTGCTTTGTATATATTTTTTGCCTGTTGTCTCCTCCATTTCTTTTCTTTTTTCTTTCTCTCTTTTTTTTTTTTGCTAGGCAATGGGGTTAAGTGACTTGCCCAGGGTTACACAGCTAATAAGTGTTATGTGTCTGAGACCGGATTTGAACTCCAGTTCTCCTGAATCCAGGCCCGGTGCTCTATCTACTGTACCACCTAGCTGCCCTCCAGCTTTATCCTTCTTAAGAGGCATCTACACATGCCCAAATGAGAACCCTGACAGCCCCTGGTTAGGACAGGCCCCAAAAGGTATTCAAACTCAAAGGAACTGGTGACCTTTATTTACCGCCCTATTGGACTTCACGCTCCCACCCCCAAATGGAGGAAGCATTCTCTAATTGAGAACATGGAATGTTGACATTCAAAAGGATCTGAGACTATTTGGGCCCCTCTCCTCTTACAGACCCAGAGGGGAAGGAGCTGGCCGAAGATGCTGCAGCACTTCAGTATTAGGATCAGGGCTGGAAGCCAGGAGTCTTAGAGGCTGCTACTCAGTGCACTGGGTAGAGCACTGAGCCTAGAGCCAGGAAGACCTGAGTTCCAATCCAACCCCAGATGCTTAATTAAGTAGCTGTCTAACCCCACGCACATCACTTAACCTCTGTTTGCCTCAGTTTCCTTAACAATAAAATGAAGACAATAATAGCACTTCCCTCCTAGGATTATTGTAAGGATCAAACAAGACAAGGATTGTAAAATGCTTAGTACAATGCCTGGCACATAGTAGGTGCTATATAAATGTTTATTCACCCCCCCCACTCCCAGCATCCCCCTTCTTGCCTCCTTTTCTGTCCTGTGTCCCATTCTCCTCCTGACCCTCAGATCATTTCAGGGTTTATTCTTACAGTCACTGCTAATGAAGGGGATGAGACCTGGACCCCTGACACCTGAGATCTGGGCTGCTGAAATGTATGGGAATGTTCAGGGGTTTTAGAGCTTTTTTTTTTTTAATGTTTTCATTTCCTAGCTTTGACTTCGGCTCAAGGATCACCTCCTACCAGAAGCCCTGCCCCGCTGATACCTGCCCCGCCCCCCTACTCCAGTTCCCAGTGTCTTCTCTCTGCAAAATTACTCCACAGATGTGTATATATTTCATTTATCTGACACATTTATGTACATGTGGTTTTCCCCACAGTAGCTAACAACTAAAACAAAAATATCACTTTAAGGGTTGCAAGGCACTTTGCAAATATGATCTCATCACACCTTCACAACAACCCTGAGAAGTAGATGCTGTTATTAGCCCCATTTTACAGACGAGGACACTGAGGCAGATAGCAGTTAAGTGACTTGCCCATGGTTACACAGCTAGTAAGCATCTGAGTTCACATTTGAACCTATCAGAACATTAGCTTCTTCAGGGCAGGGACTGTTTCCTTTTGGTCTGGTACTTTGCCTAGCATTCACTTCGTGAATGTTTGTTGAACAAATCAATGAAGGGGAGGAGAGCAGCATTTTTTACCACTGTCCCAACAGGAGGTTGGGAAGTGGTGGAAGGTCAGCAGAGTGGCTAAGAAATGAGGACTGGATTCAAATCCTATCCCTGACACTCCAACACTGTGAGACCTTTAAGTCAGTTGGGCTGAGTCTCAGTTTCCTCATCTGTAAAATGGGGATAATTATTCTAGCGCTACTTAGCGCAATGGTATAACCTGTGAGGCACTTTCTGGATCTTAAAAGAGCTCAGCTCCTATTTTTAGACTGTGAGCTCCCTGAGGCCAGGTATTGTCTTTTGCCTTCTTTGTACCCCCGGAGCCTCGAACACCATAGGAGTTCAATCAATGCTAGCTGGTTGATCACTATTCCCAAAGGTTCTGGGATCTCCCTCAACCAGGGAGTCACTCACTCCACCTAGACCTAGGTTCGTGGTGAAAGGAATTCTCCCAGCGCTTAGCGTTGTCTGGCATCTAGTACGCGCTTAATAAATGTTTACTGATCGACTGATGGAATCCCTGGTCACCCACTACAAGAATACTAAGCCGTCCCCTGATCCTAATGCGCCTGCGCAAAACCGCCTTTTTTCCCCCCCCTTCCCGCAGGTCCCCAGGCGCATGCGCTCTTCTCTCTGAGCCACCCCATTCCTTCGCCACGCCCCTAAGCCGGAGGAGGGACGGGGCAGAGGGAGCGGGCCTCTTGGAGGTCTGGAGAGGGTCAGGGCGCAGGCGTAGCCCCGCCTCAGCTCCGATCCGCCTGTTCTAGGAGAGAGGAGGTTCCTTGGGAGGCGGGGAGGAGGGGACTGGAGGTCTTCAGAGCGCAGGCTCGAACCTGCCCGGATCCCTGCCCTGGCTACAAGAGGGTCCAAGGCGCAGGCGTGTCCCCGCCCCCGCTCCGCCCTGTGCTTCCGGGTTCCCAGCTGAGCCGTGACCCATCCTAAAAGACCTAGGCGCGGGACCAAGCGGGAGACCAAGGGGAGGCGGAGGTGAGAGGAGTTTTGGGGGCGAGGGGAATCTGAGAAAGGGGTCTCAGAGTGGAAAGGGAGAAACTAGGGAGGAGGAAGGGTGTGTGAGGAAGCCCCCGCCCTTCCAAGGAGGGAGCAGGGGTAGGAGTTGTACTTGTTAGAGGGGAGGGGTGTTGGTGGCCAGACTGTAGGTGATCTGAAAAAGATCCGGGGGTATTAGTGGGCCACCGGCAAAATGATCGTCAGCAGTGGGATGGGGCAGCCCCGACAAAACTCATGGGATCTTGAGCTGCATTAAGAGGGTCTGGGAGTCGACGTAGCCCCGCTGCTTTCTGCCCAGCTTAAGGCCCCTTGGGAGTGTTGTGTGACCAGTTCTGGGCGGCTGGGATGGGCAGAGGTCCGTGTCATGTAGAGGTTGCTGGAAGGAGCTCCGTGGGTGACATTGAGATGGAGAAAGGGGGGATCGGGGTGCATCCCAGCTGTGCTTAAGTAGCGGAAGGACTGCTTCATTGAGAGAGGACTGCCCTGGGCCCAGAGGACGAAGCCAGGAGGGGAACCTCCAAAGAGCAGGACTTGGGCTTCCCGACAGCTAGAGGTGTCCAAGAATGGGACGGACCCTTTGTCAGGTATGTCGGACCAGGGGTTCCATTTTGGCCCTGGGTTGGCCTCCAGGGTTTTCAGTCTGTGGTTCAAGTGTGATATGCAGCCGCAGGTGAGGAGGAGGAGGAGGAGGGGCTAGACCCCATCTCCTTGGGTAGTGTCTTGGGTTCTGAGTTGTAGGAAGGACATAATAAACTGGGCTGGAGGAGGGTGACCAGGCTAGGAGGGGCTAGAGGAGAAGCCACTGAAGGAATTGGGGGCTTTTTAACCTGCAGGAGAAAAGACTTTGTGGAAGGCCCGGCAGTGGTGGGTTGGAGGAACAATGTAGAGTAGTCGTCTTTAAGTATCTGAAGGGCTCTTGTGTGGAAGAGAGACTGGCTTTAACAGGATTGCAGAATTTGATCATTGGCAGGCCCTCTGTGGCTGTCTGGTCCAGCCCCACTAGAATCCCCACTAGACCACACCAGACCAGCTCATCCAGCCTCCACTTAGAGACCCCCCAAGGAGGAGAACCTACCTTTGGTCAGGGTGGCCCATTCCATGTTGGGCCAGGGCCCCAGAGGACAGAATTAGTACGGGGGGAGTCTTGCTGTCGGGAACAACTTCCTAACAATAGGGCCGTCCTGAGGTGGAACGGGGCTGCCTAGTGTGGTGGTGGGCTCCTTCTCTTGGGAGGACTTCAGTTATAGGCTCCACACACCATTGTTGAGAATGTGACAAGGGGAATTTTTGTTCATAGACTGTTGGGACGCAGTGGCCTGAGGCCCCTTCCAATTTTGTGACCTCAGTGAGAGTGTACGAGGAGGGTCTTTGCCAGAGGAGGCATATGGCAGCTTTATGAAGCTGCTCAACTTATTCTACTCCAGGCTGAGATGACCCACCTGGACCCTCCTGGGTCCTCAGCTGTGTTGGCTCCAGCTGGTAGGACGGCTTGCTGGGTTGAACCAGGGACAAACAGTGAGTGCACTCGGGACACAGTCTGGGGCCAGGAGTGCTTTTTTCTTTGTAGAAGTCTCCCTGGCCTCATGAAGAGCAGAGAGGGAGGGGGGGAGGGAGTTGTGTGGTGACGTCTTCCCTATTTGTGGCCTTCGGCATCTTTCCCAGCTCCTGACCCCCTTTTCGCTCTTCTCTGTGCTCTTACTATTAGCTGCTTGCTTCCACTGAAGGCCCTTTTGAAACCCTTATTTTTTTCCCTCTTTTGCCTGGAGTTACCATATCACACATATGTCAGAGATGTGTTTTACAGTGGCTGGGGGAATTTGGTGACAAGAAGGTGAGATGGCATTTCCCAGCCCAGCATCCCAGGCACATTCCCTTGCCCTCTGGAGCAGGCCACATCTTCCAGTGGGCCCAGTAAGATGGATGGTGAGGAATTCTGTGGTCATCTGGGTGTCTGTCACCTGCTCCCAGGCCCAGCAGGTTATCCTGGTAGGACCTCAATGAGCTCTAACAAGCTAGTACTGGGGCATTCTCTCTTCTGATGAGGAAAGGCTCCTCTTAGTGGTGGGGGGTGGGATTAGGAGGGCATAAACATTGTGCTTGGCATGGCTTTGTAAGCTTGACGGAAATATCATGCTTGTGGATGCATCCATCTTCTAAAAATATCCTAACTCTTCCCTAGAACATGTGAAGTTTTTCCTTATATCAAGCCTAAATTTATCCCTGCAGCTTCTTTCCGTTCCTCCTCGTTCTGCCCTCCTGGCCCACACCAAACAAGTCTAATTGGTGTCTTGTGACACGGTAGCCCTTCACACACTTGAAAACAGCTCTCATCTTTCCCCAGGGAATTTTTGCAACTCCAGTGAAGTGTAAGGGTTGTGAATATGTACACCTAAAAATATCCAGACTATTACTTCTGACATGTCACCAATCCCCAGCCCTCTTATCTAGGCCAAAGAACCCCCCCAGTTCCTTAAGCTGCTTCTCATATGTTATGGACCAAGGTTTTCCTTGTGGTTAAGTCATTTTCAGTCATGTCCAACTCTTCATGACCCCATTTGGGGGTTTCTCAGCAAAGATACTAGAGTGGTTTACCATTTCCTTCTCCAGCTCATTTCACAGATGAGGAAACTGAGGCCCACAGGGTGAAGTGACTTGCCCAGGGTCACACAGCTAGTAAGTGTCTGAGGCTGGATTTGAACTTGGGGTCTTCCTGACTCCAAGTCTGGAGCTCTGTCCTAAGCTCTTCACCGTCCTTCAAATATTTGAGTCAAGTTGTCATTCCCTTCATTCAGTCTGGTGCCATTTGCAGTCTGGAGTTTCTGGAAGACTTCACCATCTTCTGTTCAGGTTGCGAGCTAGACACCCTTAATGAGTGGAGGGGAGCAGACATCCTCCTGTGTTATGTCTAGCTGGATAGTGAGACTTCTCGGAAGCCTGGCAGGCTTTGATCTGCTGTCTCTCTGTCCAGGAATTGCTCTTGATTTTAACTCATGCACTGGCTGCCCATTCTTTCATTTTTTTTCTGAGGAGACCTGAAGACTTTAAGGAGCTGTGCCATGCCAGATCAGATGCTTTTTGCAAAATCAGTATCCTCTCCATCACCTTCCCCTAGATTAAGAGGCAGTATTGCTCATTCTTTTTTCCCTTCTTCCAGGTATTACAAATTAGTTTATCTACTGATTATTGCCCTTGGCTGCCACGTTTCCCTGTTTGCTAAGGAGATGATTTCTAGGCTCTGTTGCAACCCCTTGTTGATGTAAGTTGCCTTATGTCAACCCCGAGAACAAACAACCAAAGAGTCAAAGAGGTTTTGCAGCTGCTGTTAACTCTAAAAAAGTCAGAAAGCTCACACAGGCTAACTCTAAAAATCAAATCAAATCCAAGAGATAACAGTGGTGATAAGCAAAAACTTTCTTCATTCTGTAGGAGGAGGGAAACTAGATACGTGTTCTGGGGGCCCCCTCTAGTAGGAGACCCGCTTTAGTGTGGGCAAATCTCAATACTTAGACCAGTGGCTGCACAGTGAGCCATAGCCCAGACAGTGCTGGGTAACAGAAACAGTGAGACCAGTTTGGTTCATAGCAGGACTTCATGACCGGAACACGAGTACTGCAGGTGCTTGTCCAAGCTCAGGGACCACCTGCTGCTGGTGTGAAATACTTCTGGGCTTTTGCTGTGGCTGAGATCATCTAGAGGGTGAGTGCAAAGGATTGTTGTTACGCCAAGCTCAAGGCATAAGGTCTTGCTGGGCCTTAGCTCTGGAAAACAGGGTGTCTCCTCATAGTAAAAAGAGAGGGGTGGTCTTGGCATGGGGATCCTCACACTTTATCAGTTGAATTTCCATAGAAGGTTCCCACTTCTGTTTCCTTCCCCCATCACTCTTTCTCCCCCCTCCCCCACTGCTTTCTCTCTTTTGCTGTTTCATTTGCTTCCTCTCTTTCCCTTTTCCTTCCTCTCCCTACCTACTTCTCTCTCTTTTCTGGGTTTCGTCTTTTCCATCCTCTTCTACCTTGCCTTCCATGTCTGACTACTCCTTAATTTCCTCTGAGGGATCATCACCCATATTCTACCCCCGTAGTTGTATTCTAAGGTTCTGTCTAGGACCGCTTCTCTTTCTTCACTATCATGGTGACCCATCTACCTCCCCTGTACTCCCCTCAGTATCTCACTACATGTCTACTCATGCCTTCCCCTGTGCCCCCTGGAATTCCCTCTCTATCATTAAAAGAAAAAAAATGAAGTCCCTTCATTTTAGACTTCTTCCCTGATGTTCTGTCCACCTTCTGGCCTGCATTGAGAACTGGTTGCCACCAGATGACCCTCTGCCTCCTTGGCCTTCCTTGCCACCCTGGTTGTACCCTCTCTCCTAACCACCTAGCTGGTGGAGTGTGTCTCATCACCACTGCCAAATTCTCCTCCTCCCACCTGCTGTCAGCCAGCAACCTGTCCTCCTTTGGGGTTTCATGGAGCCATAGTTCTCACCCAACCCAGATCCTTATAACTGCTAGTTACTGATCCCCGGCACAGTCTCCCTCATTTCTCTGTGCCAGCTTCACAGTCTCCCTTTTCAACCCAACTCCTACCCTTATCCTAGGGGACTTTAGCATCCCGCTGACATTCCTTCAGGTGCCCTAACCTGATTCCTTCCTCCACTTCACCTCAGCCATACCACAGGGGTGGTCACCCTCTTGACTTTTCCATCACCCCCACATGTGCCACCTCCCTGTTCATGAACTCTGAGATGCTTCTCCAATCATCCCCTCTCCCTTGAATGCCATATTCTTCCTCAGCCTGTCTTTCATCCTCACTCTGACTTCATTCCTTGGTACTTTGCCAAGCCAACAACCCTGTTCTGCTGACACTCCTCTGTTTCATCATCTTGAAGCTTTAGTGAACCAGCACAAGTGTATATTACCCCCTGCTTTATGGTCCTTGCTATCTCTCATCTGGGGCCTTGCCAAAACACACTCCCAGAGCAT